CCAGTAGCCAGGTGACCTTGTACAAGTCCATCTGGGTGCCTTCAGGCAGCTGGCACCTTCATGGAAGGATGACTTCCCCCACATCTCGTGATAGTCTCTGCGAGGCAGGCTGCCAGAGTGGGAGGGCTGCCGTCGAGGTGCGGGAATCCAGGCTCTTGCGGGGGGACCTGGCACCAAGGGCAGCCACCCTGGGCCTTGGCCCTGGCTGAAGGTGTAGGTGGTGTGTGTATGTGTGAGTGTGCACGACTGCATAGGCATGTGTGCGCTGTGACACACATGCAATGTCATGCATGTGCATATGTCCATTGAATGCATGTACATATGTACAGTGCGTATAGGTGTATGCTATATGGCTGTGTGCATGACGACACGTGCATGTGAGTTATGTGTATTAATGTGTGTGTGTACATATAATGTGGACACATGTGACTGCATTGCGGACTGTGTGCATTGTGCGTGTGTGTGTATATGTATGTGCGCATGTACGTGTGTGTGCGCACACGCTCATGTCCACACGTGTGGTCCGCTGCAGGGCCCCAAGAGCTCTGGACAGGCAGGGTCTCCTGAGCTGGAGGGCAGGTATTGGCGATCTGAACAGCTCGGAGGCTGTGCGACACGGCAGCCCAGGAGGACTGCCTCCGCTGCTGTCTGCTTGCGTCAGACCTTCGGGAAGGATGTAGGTGAGACAGGAGCATCCCGACGGCAGCCAGGCCAGGGGTGTCAGAGGCACCAGGGGAGCAGGGACTGTGGGGTGGGTGTGCTTGGGGGATGCCTCAGGATCTGCTAGGGGCTTGACTCTGTTATGGGAAGGAGGGGCTCTTAGGACCTCTGGTTTATAGATGAGGAAACTGAGGCAGGTGATCGTCACACAGCTAGCAAATGTCTGAGGCAGGATTTGAACTTTGGTCTTCTGGATGTCAGGCCCAGTGCTCTGTCCCCTGGGCCACGCTCAGTTCCTAAGGATGAGAGTTGTCTGAGAGGGAGCAGGCTCACTCTGTGGCTGCCTTCCGGCCAAGGTGGGCAGTCCCTGGTCAGGCGTGCGAACGGGGGCTTCGTGTTCCCGTCTGTACTGGACGAGATGGCGTGGAAGGCTTGGGGCTAGGTGTGTGCCCACACGCGTGTGCTCCTGGCATAGGGGGCTGGGCATGCTGGGGGTGATGAGGCCTCAGGGAATGGGAGGGGGCGTCCTGTTCTCGAGGCAGCGTCGCAGCGGGGAGGGGACTTTGTGGCCTAGGGAATAGACAGGTGGGGTTTGGAGGCTGAGCACCTGCTGCCTGGATGGCTCCTGTTGGTAGGCCCTCGAGTGACGCCTCCTCTGGGCTTTGGCGGGGCCGGACCAGGGGGTCTTTTCTCAGCTCTCTTCCAGCTCACCAGCTTGTGATTTGATGAGTTATCAAGTCACAGGACGAGGAGTAGTGTCCACGTTCCCAGCTGCACAATGAGAGCACTGTCCTCAAACACTTTGTGTGTGGTGGGCCCCTTGGGCAGTGAGTCTGGGGAAGCTTCTGACCCTTCTCACAGTCACGGTGAGATGCATAGGATTACAAGGGAAATCGAATCTGTTGAGATAACGTCCCAAGAACAAAGGCACAGGCCCGAAGAGGGCTAGTCAGGCACCTGGAGGCCAGGATGGAGCTGGGCCCTGGGGCAAGGGCTTTGGCTGGACAGACCTGGTGGTCGGAAATGATCTTCTCTGGAAACTTTTGGGATGTGGGCAGGTGGGCCTGGGGTGCCCAAGCGAGGCTGGGTCCTTGTGGCATCCTGGGCATTTGTCTTCCCCAGGAGTCGCTCCCGGTCAGGGGAGCGCTACCGCCGAGGGGGCCGGGCCCCGCGTCATCGGAGCAGCAGCCGCAGCAGCTGGTCACCCAGCTTGTCCCGCAGCCGCAGCCACAGCCGCACCCACACCTGCAGCCGCAGCCGTAGCCGAAGCCGAACTCACTCCCCGTCGCCCCTGAGGGAGAAGCTGACGAGGCCGGCGGCATCCCCGGCTGTTGGGGAGAAGTTGAAAAAGTGAGCCAGGTGGCAGGTTGGGGTGAGGGTGGGTGCAGGAGCCCCTAGAGGGGCCTCCTGGACAAAGCCAACCCCTCACCCTTTCTTTCCCCCTCCACCCAGGGCTGACACAGCTTCGGGTAAAGAGACAGGAGCTGCCAAAGTCAGTAAGAATTTGGAACTCGCCCGTCTAACTCCCAGCGGCGGCACCACCCAGAACCAAGCGCCTACAGTGGGGATGGGGTGGGGGTAGGGCGTTTGGGGGGTGGGCTTAAGAGGGGGCGCCCCCAGGGCAGGAACCCAGGGGTTGTTGGGGTAGTCCCGTGCAGTGTGGGTGCCTCTAGGACAAAGGGTGGTGCAGACACTTGGGCCCTGGCCCCACTCAGGGTGGTCACCTCTCCTGAGGGCCTCCCTTCCCCTTCTCTTCCTACATCCTTCAAAAGCCAGGAGCTCTGTGATGAGGTTGGAGGACGAGGTCTGAGCACCCACCACCCCTCCCCTCTCTCATTTCCCCACAGCCCAAGCTGACCCCCCAAGAGAAGCTGAAACTGAGGATGCAGAAGGCACTCAACAGACAGTGTGAGTGAGGTCCCTGGCAGGGCCCCGCCAGGGAGAAAGGGAGGCTGGCCCCTGGCCACCAGCTGCTGGCCACTAACCCTAGCCCTCCCTGTGTCCCTTTGTTCCTATAGTCAAGGCGGATAAGAAGGCGGCGCAGGAGAAGATGATCCAACAGGAGCATGAGCGGCAGGTGAGGACCCCTGGGTGCACGACCCTCTGGGGAGAAGACAGTGCGCATTTATGGAGTACCTGCTGTTTGCCAAGCACTGGGACTACCCAGACAGTGAAGGAGCAGGGTTAGAGCTAGGGCACATCGTTCGTGCCTCCAAGTCTGTGCTAAAGATGTCCTGTTGGGAGGCACTGATGGCTGAGGCAGTCAGCAGAGACCTCATCTGGGAGGGCTCTTTGGATGGTGCTTGGAAGGGAGAGGCAGTAATGAGGCAGGGACTGGCAGGCCGAGGGTGGGCTGGGGCTGGGGAGAGACGAGGGCAGGCCATGGGGCAGGGTGGGTAGGGTGGAGAGAACAGGAAATGGGAAGGGGCTTCCTTCTTCAGAAAGGGGGGGCACGGCCGGTGGTTGGTCAGGGAGGGTCAAGGTTGCCTCCAAAGTGGTGGCAACCCTAGGATGCTGGGGAGAGGGATCTCCTGAATTTGGCAGGGGTCTGCGAGGCTTGTGATGGGCAGGTGGGCAGGTGCCACCCTGTGAGAGGGATCTGTGTTTCAGGAGCGAGAGGATGAACTGCGTGCCATGGCCCGCAAGATCCGCATGAAGTAAGGCCTCCCTTTCTCTCTTCTGCTTGGCTTCTCCTACTGGCCGGACTGCCCCCTCCCCCTGCCTCCCCCCCGGCCTGCGCCCCCCCCCTCTAAGTGCTCCCCCCCCCCGCCCCCCCGCCCCGGTCCCCCCCCCCCCCCGTCCCCTCCTTTCTCCCTTAGGGAACGGGAGCGGAGGGAGAAGGAGAGAGAGGAGTGGGAGCGTCAGTATAGCAGACAGAGCCGGTCCCCATCCCCCCGATACAGTGAGTGCCTTGGCTGAGCCGTGGCGGGCGAGGGGAGCAGCTTCTCAGTGGATGGGGACTCAGCTCACCCTCCCCCACCCAACCTATCCTCTCTGCCTTCCTTTCCAGGTCGTGAATACAGCTCGTCACGGAGGTAAGGCAGCTGGGCGAACATTCCGCTCCCGCCAGGTGGCCCAGGGCCATGACCTGCCCCGAGTGTAGCCCGCTCTTGGCTCCCTCCTGTCCCCCTCCCTCGTCCCTGGTGGGTCCCTGGGGTTCTCCCACTGTGATGCTCAAGTCCTGTCTCTTTTCCTCTGTTCTAGGCGCTCACGGTCCCGTTCTCGAAGCCCTCATTACCGCCACTAGTGGGATTGGGGGGGTGGGAATTGGGGAGGGGCTGGACCCTGTCCAGGGTCAGTGCTGCTGGTTTTACCACTTGTTTGTGGAATAAATTAGAAGAGTATTTAATATTCCTCCCATGGCCTGTTCAGTGTGTTGTAGGGTGGGGGGAGAAAGGTTGGGAATGACACCGAGACACTAGGATGGGACTAGAAATGGGGCAGGACAGAAGATGCTGGGATCCAGTGGAAACTGAGGCAGAGAGAGGAGAGTAGCAAAGCCAGAATTGGAGCCCAAGTCCTTGACCTTTTTCTAGAGTGTCCTTTTTGTGCTGGGGCTGGTCAGTACCTGCACGCTGGGGAGCTGTGCTGGGGTGGGCATAGCCCAGAGCGGTCAGTTTGGCAGGGATCGGGCCCCAGAAGGGTGCCATGCAGAGTCTGAGCTCATGCCAGGGAGAGCCTGCCTGTTTACCCTTCTCTGGGCTTGGGTAGGTGTTGCTCCAGGTCTGGGCAGAGGCCTCAGGGTGTTGGGTACCCTCCCAAAACACGGACACTTGTGCACGCCCAGGAGTCTGGCCCATATTCCCATGGAGGCACCCATCCTAGAATGGCCCGAGCTGGAACCGGGAGTACCCCTGCACTGTCTCTGTTTCTGCCAGTGCGTGTTGGGATGACAGGCTGGGACTAGCCTGGCCCTGGGGAGACGTCTCCCCAAGTCACCCTTGCCACTACTGTATTAGGCTTAGACGAGCCTGGTCACTGGGCCCCCCAGTCTTTGTCTGGGGAGAGGCAGAGACTGGGTCTCCTTAACCGTGGCCCCATAACATCTAGTGGGGAGCGAGGGGGACCTCTGCCCTGGGGGCCCTTGCAGGCCCAGGCCCCTTCCCTCTTCTCTTGCCCAAGCCTCGCCCACGCCGGAACCGGGCCCACCACTTTCCATGCCAGCCTGGCCCTGCCCCGGGCAGCGGCGGCGGTGGTGGTGGTGATGGTGGTGGGAGCTCTTTTTGGCCCTCCCCCCCCAAACCGGTCTGGCCAGCCACTGTTTCTTGGGGGGGGGGTAGGGAACTGTCCCTACCCCACCTTTTTTCGCCAAGTTGCCATAAGAAAGCAAAGAGCCTGTCTATTTCAAAAACTAGAAATCTTTTATTACCAAAAATAAAAATAAGTTGAGTCATGGATGGGCTGGGGGCTGGTGGTCGCCCTCGTGCTCGGGCCCGTTCCCCAGCTCCCCATGTTGTCGCTTGAGGTGTTTGTCCAGGGTTGCTCGGAGGCCAAAGGGCACCAAGCAGTGGGGGCATTGGAAAGGGGGTGAGCCAGGTGCTGGACCATGGGTACGTAGGTGGCGGGTGAGCTTGCTGCTCTGTGCACAGGCATAGGGGCAGAGGGGGCAGGCGTAGGGCCTCTCTCCTGTGTGGGAGCGCCGATGGACCGTCAGGTTGCTGCTGTTTCTAAAAACTTTGCCACAGAACTCACAGGTGTCTCCCCTCCGCCGGCCCACACTCCCTCGGCCCCCTCCCCCCGCATCCTCCCCGGGGCCAGCTGGTGGAGCCCCAGGAGAGCCAGGCTCTCGACCACCCCCTTCCTCACTGCTGCCGCTGCTAGGCCCTGGGGGTGGGACCAGGTCTGAGGGGGCAGCAGCATAGTCGGCTGGCTCTGGAGGGGCTGGGGCAGAGCCAGGCCCTGCCCGTTGGTGAGTGCGCAGGTGGCGGGTCAGCTTGCTGCTCTGGGCACAGGAATAGGGACAGCGGGGGCAGTGGTAAGGCCGCTCCCCGGTATGGGTGCGTCGATGCACGGTCAGGTTGCTGTGGGAGCGAAAACCTTTGCCGCAGAAGTCACAGGCGTGACTCCGGGTCCGGATGGAAGGTGCTGCCGCCAGTGGTGCTGGGGCTTCTCCATCTTTGGCTGGGCTTGGCCGGCTCTGGTAGATGGCCAGGCCGTGGCTCTCCTGGGCATGGCGGAGGAGGGCCCAGGCACCCATGAACCAGCTGCCACAGCTGCTGCAGGAGAAGGCTGAGGGCTCCCGGGACCCTGGATGGAGAGGCAGGAGCAGACAGTCAACATAAGTGCTTGTGTGCCCCTCTGCAAAATGGGCGGTTTGCACAGTTCACTGTAAACAGTGGCAGGCCCTGGTTTCCAATCCTGGTCTAATCACTGGGTGCCACCAAGGCCTCAGGTCCCAGCTCTTGGCGTGTGCCAGAGGACTTGGTGGGCCTTGACTCACTGACATCCCCGGGTGGGGTGGGGGTGGGGGGACGGTGCCAAGCCCTGGCCCAGCCAGGGGGTTCCCAAGCTGCTGAGAGGGAGTTTCCAAGAGGAGCTCCCCTTGCCCTGCTTGCATCCACTGCTCCCTCCCTCCCTCCCTCCCTCCCTCCCTCGGGCGGCCGTTGGTCACCTCTTCCAGCCCACCAGGCCGAGAAGAAGGCAGGGTGGGGTGGGCGGGGGCCGTCCAGGAAGCCGGCCCGGCCCCTCCCCCAGGCCAGCACCTGGCGGACCCAGGGGCCCACAGAGAAGTGAAACCCAGGCAGCCGGGGCGGGACTCGCCGCCGCCCGCGCGCCCGCCCTCCCTCTTCCCCACAAGTCCGGGCCACCCAGACACCTCCCCCCCGCCTTGCGGCCAAGTGTGGGCCAAGGCCGAAAGGGGAAGTCCGGGGCGCGCCCAGCCCCCCACTCACCCGGGTCCCCGTCGGGGTCGGGGCGCCGGCCCCAGGCGGGCCTCTGGCAGCGGCCTCGCTTGTGCTCGATGAAGGCCACGATCTGGCTCAGCGGGAAGGTGAGCAGGCAGCGGCCGCACGTCAGCAGGTCGGGGCAGCTCCGGAGGGCTGCGGGGAGGAGGCGCCCGGGGCCGCCGGCCGGGGAGCGCGGAGGGGCTCGCGCGCACCCGGGACCCGGACGGCCGGGGGGCCACTCGCCCGCGCTGCCCGCGTTGGGGACATCCGGGACGGCCAGGGGCGGCACGGATGAGCAGGACGGCGGCGACGACGACGACGACAACGACGAGGAGGAGGCCGGTGAGGCCGCGGGGCCGCCCAGGCCATCGGGCGCCTGGGGCCGGACGTCGTCCTCGGCCCGGTCCCCGGGCCCCCGGCGGGGCGCGCTGCCCAGCTTCCTCCGGGACGTGGCGCACGCCAGCGCTGGGCCGCCGTCGGGGCCGTCCGGCCGGAGCTGGGGCGGGGGCGGCGCGGACGAGGAGGACGAGGACGACGAGGAGGAAGCCGGCGAGGTCGCGGGGCCGCAGGGGCCATCGGGCTCGTCGAGGGCCCGCGGCTCGGCCTCGTCGGCCCGGGGCCCCCGGCGGGGCACACTACCCAGCTTCCTCCGGGACATGGCGCAGGCTGGAGCCGGACGCGGAGCCGGAGCCGCCGCCGCCGCCGCCGCCACCGCCGCGAGGCCGAGAGAGACGCTGCAGGTGAAGTGACCCGGCCTGGCCACCTGGCGGGGCGGGACAGCCGCACGTGGGGGCCGGCGGCGGGCGTGTGTCCCGCCCCCGGGGCGGGGTCAGGGTGGGGCCTAGCCGTCGCCCGGCCCCCGAGGGGGGAACCAGGCAGCGGCGGCCGAGCGGCCAGGGCCACGGCCACGGGGGAGGGGCCCGCCGTCGGCTCTCAGGCCCCGCCCCCGCTAGGGCGGCAGCTTCTACTGGGATCCCTGGCCAGCTCCGCGTCCCCTCTGCGCCTCAGTTTCCCTTTCTGTAAAGCGGGGCTCAGAGAGACGCCGCCAGCCCGGGGCGGCTGGGAAGCTCAGGTTACGTCTCGCAGCGTTCGTGAAGCGCCTGTCGGCGCCAGGCCCTGGGCTAAGCGACCCCCGCCATCCGGGGTTGGAAGGGGAGCCCGCGTCCAGACCACGGGGTGCGCACACGGCGCAGACACGCGGCCGAGGGCGGCAGGGGCTTGGAGGGGGCGGCGCCGGGAGCCGGGCCGGACGGGCACCGGGCGGGCCGAGGGGATTGCGCTCCATAAGGACGCCGGGGCTCGGCAGTCCACAGGACCCGCGCTCAAGTCCTCTGCCCTGGGGCGAGCGGAGCCCAAGGCGCCAGGGTGCGCGCACGTTCTCTCCACTGCCCGCTCGCGTCCCGGCGGGCTTCCCCGGACGGCGCAGGCGCAGGCGCACGCGGGCCGGCCGGCTTCCCCGGACGGCGCAGGCGCACGCGATTTGGAACACCGCGGGAGCGGACGTTGTATCCTGGGTGGGCTCTGAGCCTTGGGGCGCTAGCCAGCCAGCCCCGTGGTCTGGGACCATGCCCGAGAAGAATCTGCCCGCCTCTGAGCCCACCGCCAAGAGTCGAATCGCCGGCTATCGGAGAGAAGCGCCTCTGCCCGCTGGTGAGCCCCGGGAGCGGGGGAGAAAAAGGGTAGGGAGAAGGGCTCCACTGAGGTCCTTTCTGACCCCGGGAGTGTCTTCTCCCCCCCCCGAGGGACACCGGGAGAGAGAGTAGACACGCCCTGCCACTGGACCGGGAGTTTCTAGAGGGCGGAGTGGGTTTTCTTTTGCTTTTTTCCTGAAGTTTTATCTGTAACTGCGGCGCCCAACCTTCGCACATAGTAGGTGATTAATTCATGCTTATTGCTTTACCGACTAATCGTGTCTGTCTTCCCTCTCTGAACCTCAGTTTCCTTATCAAGCAAAGAAAAAGGGGCCGGGAGATGTCCAGTCTAACTTTGCATGCATTATGCTCTGCTTGCGTCAGTTAATAAGCATTCATTAAGTGCAAACTGTGTCCTAAGGCACTGTGCCAAACCTGGAGGAAACAAAGGAAGGCTCAAAAAGAACCTCTTCCCCCCTTCCGCCAGGCCAGACCCTGCCTTCAAAAAGAGCTTCTAGTCTAAAGGGGGAGGCAACCGGCAAATACCAAAATCCATAGCCTGGATAGACAGGTGCTAAAATGAACAGCCGAGGGAAGGAAAGAGATTTAAGCCAGGGAAAATGCCCGGAGAGAAAGCATCCTTTTCCAGGAGCTGCTCTGAAATTTATTGAGAAGGGGAGGTGATTTGACAGGGTTAGACCTGAAATTGAAGAAAATTACTGAAGCTGAGTGGGGGAAGGGAATAAGGGTTTATAGAGTGCCTACTAGGGAGAGCTCTTTACAAACCTCATTTGATTGTCACAACCACTCTGAAAGGTTGATGTAATTACCCCCCTCATTTTACAGATGAGGAAACTGAGGCAAACAAGGGAAGTAACTTGCCCAGCTAATAAATGTCTGAGGCTGGATTTGAACTAAGATCTTCCCAGTTCTGGGTGCACAGTGTCATGTAGCTGTCTCCTGATGGAGTGGAGTGGGGAGAGGCCTGGCCCTGGGCCAGGTGTAGGATGGTTCCAAAGTCAGAGAGCCCCAAATAGACTCTTTTAATTAGACACATTTCGATTTCTGCTGTTACTTTCTAAGCTTCCTCTTCATTCTGTTGCGAACTGAATTAAGAGAGTGGAAGGGAGCTCTGGGATTGCATTCTGAGTACTGGAACCCAAATCAGGGCTAGGTATTTGGCACCCAAGTATCAAGAAGGAAGCAATCCCTGCTAACGGGAAGTTTATTCCACAAATATACACTGTAAACCTCTCTAGCACCCCTCACCTTCCTATGCCTTGTGGGACCTTTAGATACATTTTACTTAGCCTCTCTGGCTTCAGTTTCCCCTGTCTGCAGCTTTGGATGCTCTCCTCCATGATACTCTATTCTCTCTAGGTTTTTGGGACACCCCTCCCCCCACTTCCTGGTTCTCCTGCCTCTCTGACTGCTCCCTCTCTGTCTCCTGTGGTCCTCAGACAGACCACACCTCCTAGGTGTTCCTCGGGGTTCTGTCTTGGATCCTCTTCTCTCCCTCCATTCCACTTCACTGGGTGAGCTCAGCACCCACAGATTTACTACCATCTCTATGCTGGTGATGCCCAAGTCTGCCTTTCCTAAGCCAACCTCTCTGCTGACCTCCAATCTGAAATCTCCAGCTGCCTTTCAGACATCTTGAACTGGATGTCCAGTAGACATCTTGAACTCAATATGTCCCAAACGGACCTCATGATCTGTCACCGTAACACCCCCCCCCCCCCCCCCCCCCCCCCCCCCCCCCCCCCCCCC